GCGCAGAGGAATCAGATTACCACCGACCCCAGACCCTCTGCACCTCCCTGCCCACGGAAGCAAGGTGTCCTTGCCAAGGGGTTTGCCGAGGGAAGCCAATTCTTCTGCCCCTCTTCCCAAACTCCTTAACATCCCCAGTGCCTTAAACTAAAGATGGATTCCAGCAGGGCACCTGGTGGGCTCAGTTGGTGGAGCATTCATGTGACTCGATCTCAGGATTGTGGTTGGTGTAGAGATTACTTAAAAAAAAAATAAAAGAAATAAAAAGAAAATATAAAATAAAATAAATAAATAAAAAGATGGATTCCAGCATGTCTGGAAGTCTTATTACAAAGTTAAACCCAGAGGGAAAGGCTTATATATCAAAGAAATTGTAAGACTTTGTTACTTTACTGTGGTCACAATATGGAGAGCATGTATGAGGAAAGATCCAGGTCCTGGATGAAGGAAATAAGAACCGAAGTTTAAATTGGGCTGATTTTTTCAATACAGGTGCACTTACCAGAAATTTTGGATTCCGTGTGCTGGCTTGAGCTACTAGGGGTCGTTCTGGGTGTCTATTTGGTTTGCTGGGAGGAAAGCTGAGTCTCACTAAATGCAATCAAGATGCCAAAAGTTCCCTGGTATAGTAGAGGAAAGAATCCAAAGCCTCAGGAAGATTCACTCATTCACTGAAAACAAATGTTGTACTGGGATTATCAGACAACTCACCCAGAGATATTCCCTTCACCTTCATTTAGGAGTTCATTGCTGAGGGCAACATCTTTGAAAAGTTTGTCTGCTAGGACTGCTGTACCAAAGTACCACACACTGAGTGGCTTAAACAACACAAAGTTCTTGCCTCAGGGTTCTGGAGCCGAGGTGTTGGCAGGGCCACACTCTCTCTGAAGGCACTGGGGAATTTTGGATTAGGGGCCCGCCCTCACCTCAACTCAGTATATCTGCAAAGATGATGTTTCTTTTTTTTTTTTTTAGGATTTATTTTATTTATTTGAGAGAGAGACAGAGCATGAGTGGGAGAGGCAGGGGGAGAGGGAGAGAGAATCGCAAGCAGACTTGGTGCTAAGTGTGGAGCCCCACGTGGGGCTTGATCTCACGACCCCATCATCACGACCTGAGCCAGACGCTTAACCGGCTGCACCACCCAGGTGCCCCCAAAGATTCTAACTAAGGCCACGTTATGAGGTATTAGGGTTTAGGTCTTAAATGTATGAATTTTTTTTGTGGGGCAGACACAATTCAACCTTTACTTAACAAGCACCATAGTCACTGTTCTCCATGTCAGGGATTCTCTCTTTTTTTTTTTTTAAGATTTATTTATTTGAGAAAGAGAGCGAGCACGTGCACTTGCGCGCACACAAGCTGGGGGAGGGACAGAGGGAGAGACTCCCAAGCAGACTCCCCACTGAGTTCGGAGCCCATTGATGCAGAGCTCGACCTCAGAGCTCTGAGATCATGACCTGAGCTGAAATCAAGAGTCAGACGCCCAACTGACTGAGCCACCCAGGCACTGCCTCCATTTTTGACTTTAGTTTTGTTCAGGGGCGCCTGGGTGGCTCAGTCGTTAAGCGTCTGCCTTTGGCTCAGGTCATGATCCCAGAGTCCTGGGATCAAGCCCATCAGGCTCCCCGCTCATCGGAGAGCCTGCTTTTCCCTCTCCCACTGCCTGCCACTCTGCCTACTTATGCTCTCTATCTCTCTGTCAAATAAATAAATAAAATCTTAAAAAAAAAAGTTTTGTTCAAAAAACATGCCCAGCTCCACACATGATTGGTCTAAGTCAAACATGCCAAAATTCCCCTTTGCAGGTGATAACTGTATTTTAATTAATATATAGTATATAATTATATTATAAACATAATTCATAATTCAAATGTTGCTGAAACCTATGTCTTTTTTTTTTTAAGATTTTATTTTTAAGTAATCGCTATACCCGACTTGGGGCCTGAACTCACAACCCCGAGATCAAGAGTCGCATGCTCCACAGACTGAGGCAGCCAGGCGCCCCTGCCAAAGCCTGTCTTTGCAACAGCATTTCTTTCTATCCAAATACCCTCTGACCCTAACATCCAATGATGGTCATTGTTTCCGAGCAACCCAAAATGCTACACAATTTTTCAACATGATGATATATAATCCCTCTTTCTAGGTTGTGGTAGAACACTGGACCTGAAGAAAAATTCTCATAGTGTTAAATCTTATTCCTTCTGCTGTTGCTTTGCTATTAAAAATCTTTAACACCTTCTTCCAAAAGCGCTGAGGCCTCTCAGGTCAGGTGTCCACCCAGGAACCCAGTGCCCAGAGACAGGGTGAGGACCATCAAGCTGTCCCCTAATCTCATCCACCAGGAAGACCATCGCAGCTGAAATCCTGCTGAACTCAGGGATAAAGCCCAGGGGTTTCTGTCACCCATCATGACACAGCTGGGTAAGGCAGAGCCATGGCTATTGGCAACACCAAATCACCCAGAAGCAGCCTAGCCACAGCTACCTCCACCCTGACACACTGGGAGAGGTGCAGATGGGCATCCAGCCATGTCCAGCCCCATCATGTCCACTGAGGAGCAGCCCTGCAACCTGCCCTCCAACATCCCAGCCCCAGGGCAGGAGGTATGCAGAGTCCAGTGAAGTTCTGGGGCAGGGGAAAGGGAAAACCCTGCCCCTGTCACCATCTTCCCCAACCCAAAGGTCGGTGACAAAGAAAACAGGACAGAACCAGCCAACACGCCCCCACTCAGAGCCTCATGTTGCCCCTTTGTCCTCAACCCAGTCCCTGGTTCCCCTCCCCAAAGATGCCAACATTTGGGACCCACAATTTCCCCTTAATGGTCCTCCACCCCAGATTCCCCTTCACACATCCTGGGGTGAGGACCCAGAACCCTATGTTGGCCCAGAGAAAACTTGGTCCTGTCCCTGCCCATGGGCACCAGGCCCAGGACTCACTCCAGGGCAAGACAGTTTCCTCTCCAGAGAGGGGTAGGCATGGAAGTGGGAGCTGGACCAAAGATCCCAACACAGACTTATGAGAGACCACAATGTGGGAGTCAGTAGAACCAGCTGGAGAATACCTCAGAAGTGGAGAGATGGCCACAAGATACAACCTTAGATTCTTATTGTTTATTTATTTACTTATTTAAGTAAGCTCTAGGCCCAACATGGGGCTTTGAACTCACAACCCCGAGATCAAGAGTCACGTGCTCTACTGACTGAGCCAGCCAGGTGCTCCAATTTTTTTTTTTTTAAGTATTTATTGCAAAGAATGCTGGACACAGTGTGATGTGTGGCTGCGATCCACCACCACCCACTCCAGGGAGAATGGGAAAACATCTTCGACACAAGCACATCGACCGTCAAGGATAAAACCCAGCAGCCAACCCAGCGGGCTGCTGCCCACGCAGAGAGCACTCCAGGCAGAGGCAGAGAGGAGTTGCCCCAACCCTGCCATGCCCCTAGGCTTCCCTCTACCCTATCCCAGGCCTTGTAACACTCCGGGTCCAGCAGCTCCTGACTGCCCTCTGGGCACAGAGAAAAGGCCTCGCTGGTCCTGCCTCAGCCAGCCTGAGGTCCTGGAGAGGTGGGGACATCCAGACATACAGCCCGCCAACCAAAGAAACCCACTATGGCCAACAAGTAACTGTCCATGTGACCAAGTCACCAAAACTCTGGGGGACATGGAAACAAGGGCTGTGGTCCCCATGTCCCAAAGGCAGTGGCATGGTCCTCTGGTCCTGAGTCCAGGGCTAGGGGATCTGGCAGGGGGTAAGTCCAGAAGCTCCTGCCCCAGCCCTCTACCCAGGTCTGTCCACGGCCACTGCAGTGCATGAGGCTGAGAGACCACCAGCTGGGGCAGGTGGCACCTGCAGGCTTTAAAGCCCCGGGAGGCTGGGAAAGGTGGGCTGTCCTGCCAGGGAAGCTTCCGAGTACAAGGTGGGCTCGGGATCCTGGATGAGGACCCACTTGTGGACAGCAGGGCGTCCGACTACAGACACCGACACCTCCTCACCCAGCCTCTCGACTTGCTGGCCAGGCCTCCTGCCCATCTACAAGATGGAGCCAGAACCCACTGCCCAGCCTGCCTCTCTGGACCCAAAGGAACTCAGGGGCTCGTGACAGACGGCAGCCTCCCGGGGTGGTTTTTTGCCAGGCTCCCATGCACAGGAAGCCGAGGCTGCGCCATGCTGGGAACATCCTCCCCTGGACAGGGTGCCTCGGGTTTCTGGCCTTTCCCCACAGGTGGAGGTCAGCGAACGCCAGGACAGGCTTTTTTCTCTGAATGCTTCACAGCAAATGCATTTCCCTGCCACCAGGGTCCGCTCCTGTGTGGACACAGGCGGCAACGGGGGAGAGGTAGCCTGGGGAGCACGGCCGGGAGGGCAAGGTGGGACCCTCTCCCTCGAGCACCTGGGTGTTCACGCGGCCACCCTGACTTTACGTGCTTTCACCGTGACAGCCGTTAGGCAGGTGTGGCCTTGGCCACCAGCTCCCCCAAATGTTCCAGTGTATGCACGATCGACAACGGGTGACCCCAAAGGCCGTGCTCCCTGCATGCTTCTGCTGAAGTGAGCACGTGGCGCTCACGAGCGGCTTCGACGCAAGGTGGCGGCCTCGGCGGCTCTCGGGTTCCTGGCAGGATGGGAAGGGCACTCCCTCACAGCCCCGGCAGCAGAGCTCAGGGTCCCACACAGAGGAGACAACAGAGTCCCTGCTGGGGTCGCCAGGTCTGCCTCAGACAGCTCGGCCGCGGTGGGAACCTCCTAGCCGGGCTTTCTGTTCACGTTTAGGGCTTCACACTTCACAGAGCCCGGCGACCAGGGAGAGAGCACCTCAGAGCAGCAACAGCAAGACCAGCTTGTGAGGACACCTCTCACCAGCCCCGGGCGGATGCAGTCTGGCCACATGCTTCATAGCAGCAGGTTGGGCACCACGTCTAACCCTGTCACCATTAACAAGGAAGCAGGGGGGCTGGTGCACGGGCTCTGGGATGTTCCAGCAGAGAAACTCACACGGGCCAGGGGGCCTGTAAGGACCTCATTTGCAGAGGTCCATACCTGCCTGGGGGTCGCAGTGGATGAGACACGGTCACTGGTGAGCAGGGACCGTGACAAGGGCTTCCTCCGGGGGCCTCGAGATGTCTACATTCTGCAAAACAAACACACACACACACAAACCACAGAACATTCACCTTGTGGCGAGAATAGATGGACACCCACTGTCCTGCTGTCTACTTTCCTCATCACTGTAACCCTTTGGGTTCACATACTCACCCCCCAGGAGCCCTGGCTATGGGACTCCAACCCCAAATTTCCCTAAGAGCAAGGGCTCAAGAGCCTTTCCAAATATGCTGGGTGGATGAACACAAGGATTCAAAGGCAGCGGAGGAAGGTGCCTGGGTCCTGCTTGCTCCTTGCTCACAGAGCAGGCAGTACCCTGAACAAGGCCATCCCACCTCCTGCCTCAGGCCTGAGTCAGCTGGGAGAGAAGAGCTTGTTGGGGGCTCAAATCCTCACCAGTGGGGGCAGGGAAGGGGGCCCCGCTCCTGGCGTGCCCACCTCCTGGTCTAAGTGTTGGTGGGCAGGTGTCAGATGAGGCTCCAGCAGCCTGTGGGCCCCTCCTCGTCTTGGCCTGCTCTGTCCTCTCAGAGCTGGGGCGCAGGGTGCCCTGGACCTCCTGAAGCCCTCAGCTACAGACAGCCCTCGCCAAGCCACAGAGCCCAGCTCCTTCCATGGCCCGCTGGGCTCAGGCCTGAGGGATATGGGGGCCTGACACTTCCCTCAGCTCCACGAGATGGTCCTATGAGGCCCCCAATCCTGGTGGCCCATCTTCTTGATTGTGGGCCCTCACAACCATGACCTACTGAAGCAGGTCACCTGGGGCCGCAGCCCTGTGTGACGTGATGTGCCCAGACCCACAGGCAAGAAGACACGGCCCCTGGGGGGGCCCACCTCTGGGTTCACTGAACCAGCCACTACAATGGGAGGGGCAGGTGCAACTCTGGGGGATGGGGCAGGCTTCCTGAGGGCCCCTTTCCCATCTCAGTTTGCTCCCAAGAATGGGCTAGGGCCCGGGGATCCTGCCACCTGAAAGGGAACCAGCCGGGAACCTGTGGCCAGCAGAAATTGGCGTCTCGGAAGCCAGCATGCAGAGGTGGGCAAGGGGGCTGCCAGCTACTCCGTGGCCATGCTGGCTCCTGCCCTGCAGATGCGGGGGTCAGCCCCCAGTGCCGGCCACGTCCAGGGGCTTCTCTTACCATCACCCTGTCAGTCAGTGCTGGGGCCCAGTGCCTTCTGGACCTCCCTCAGCACAAAGGGTGCACGTTAGGACATGCCTTCCCCAGTGACCTATGGGGGCCAGACAGGGCCTGGAGCAGAGTCTCGGGACAAACAGGGAAGAGGCCTGCATGGTGGATGGTCCCGGTGAGGGGGCAGCCGCCTTAAGAATGTCCACACATCTCTGCCAGTGGGGATCAAGGCCAAGGGGCTGCAGGTGTGCAGCCCAAGCTGTGCATCTTTAACAGGGACCCAGAGCCCACCATGCTCCCTTTTAGGTGGCAGCAGGTACAACTGAGACCCCAGGAGCCTTCTTGGTGCAGTAGACTCTGGGAATGGGGTCCAGAAGGGCCGATCTAGCCCTTGGCCTCAGTGGAAGAGGTAATCAATGTGGCAGAGAGACCTCTCATGGACACAGAAAGGGGTTCTGGGCAATACTTTGAGGAGCTTCTATCTTAAACAAGGCACTGGGGGAACACAGGGTCGTGAACTGCTCTTCTGCAGGACCGTCTCTGTCCAGCGCCAACACCCTCTCTGCACGTACATGGCCCTTTCCCTAACAAAGCGCACACCATTTTAATTTTTAAAGTTGCTCAAGTTGGAAAGGATGCTCATGAGGCCTGAACTTGTAGGGGATCATGGAAGAATCTGCATCCATCCCCTTGTGGGCCTCTTGCTTCTTTCCCAGCTGGGACCCCCTCACCCCCTGGCTCAGACCCCTATGATAGGGCTGCTGGGAAGCCACCGCACCCAGGCTCAGGCACTTCCTACCCTGGTGGCCCAGCTCCAGGGGCCTCCCCACTCCCAGGGCAGCATCCTCGGGAAGGCCCAGCCCAGAGCCATGACCTTGCCCTGATGATAAGACAGTAGGTTTGGCGGAGAACTCAAGTCCTCTCTGGCAGGCACCCCAACTGGCCCTGGGTCTGGAAGATGCTGTATCTGGATACCCCCAGGAATAGGCTCGCCACCCCAGCAGTAACCCCATTGCTACCTGAGGCCTGTCCCGGTGCGTGTTCACAGCCATCACGTTCAGGAATATGGACTCCACTTTACAACCTGCCAAAGGGGGGATGTAAATTCATTTCCCCTCCTGGAGCCGTAGAGGATAGAAGCTTCTCTCGGGTGGAAGCCCGGGGTATCGCAGAACAGGGCAGCCATTCTTAGCGTCATCCGGCTCCTCCCACCTTGGGCAGCTTTGGGGAGGACGTGAGGAAGGACAAGGAACCCTGCAGGCCCCGTGCTTATCAAGTGCCACCGCGCAGCCTTGGGGAGAAGCCCAGACACCGGGAGGGCTCCGCTGAGGACACGAGCCGAGCAGCAGCCTGAGCGTGGCGTGGAATCATTCTGTGAGGCTTCGGGGCCCCCGCACCACTCACACCCCAAGCACGCCACAAACACAAGGCCAAATCCACATCACGCCAGGGGCTCAGTGCCATGGGGATGAGGTTATGAGCACCCAGGGGAACAACATCAGCTGTCACTGGGCTTTTCCCGTCGTTCTCCCAAGGACACGACCACCTGAGGGGTGCCTCGTAGCCTGTGCTGAAGGTGAGGAGCTGAGACCCAGGAGCTTAGGAGGTGGCCTGAGGTCCCTGCGGGCACAATGCAAGGCAGAGTTGGGACTCAAACGACTCTGAACTCAAAATACCCTGAATATGTTAAGGCCCAGGTCCTGGGGGCCGTGGGGCTTTGTGGGAGTCTCTGAAAAAACAGTAGAAAAGCCCCTCATGCAGGTGGGTGATGGTTAAGGATCATCGGAAAGGCTTGTGTGGCCACAGAAATTAAAATAAAACAAAACAAAAAAAGTAAATTGGGAGGGGCTCCTAGCTGACTCAGTCTGTGGAGCGTGTGACTCTTGATCTTGGTGTTATGAGTTCAAGCCCCAAGTTGGGTGTAGAGCTTAGTTAGAAAAAAAAAAAAAAGAAAAAAAAAAAGGAAATTGCGAAAGGCAGTGGGGAGGGGGGGCAGAGGAGGAATGAGCCCCTAATGGGAGTTTCAAGGGATCTGCAGAAACATCGTGGAGCCCCATGGAAAGCCAGCGTCTGGCAACCAGGTGAGTGTGCAGGACGCTTCCTTACCATAAGCCACGGGGGTCAGCTTCAGGACGGTGTGCAGCGGACACTTGAGGTAGGGCAGCTGTTCTGTGGACACAGATGGGCAGGGCTGGCACACCAGGGACGCCCACGGAACAGTCCCTCTGTCCCTCTCACATACACACATCCCACCTCCCCGGGGGCCGGCCCACACCTGCCGCCTTATCAAGGAAGTAGGCCAGGAGGCAGCGCATCACAGCCTGGTGGCAGATGACCAGCACATTCTCTTGCCTCTCCAGCTCCATGATGACAGGCTCAAGGCGCTGGACCAGGTCCTCGTAGGACTGCAAGAACAAGCGGGAAGGGTCCCTCAGGCCCTGCTCCAGGGGTAGTGACGGAGACGTAGCAGGCTACCTCCTCACTCCTAGGACCCTCATCATTCTGGGAGGTTGTGGCTAGATATCCTCCAGCCTGGCATCCCAGGGGCACGGGGGGTGGGCAGCTCGGGGCTAGGGCCTGCCTCTGCAGGACAGTGAGGTGTCCAGCTTGAGACGGAAGCTGGGAGGGGAGAAGAACTGGAAGTCTGGGAAAGAGATCGCATCCTCCACCCCAGGGCCAGGTCCCGGGAGGACGAGAGGGCAGAGCTGGGCCTCAGGCTGCCATCCTAAGGGGCCATCACCAAGCCCACCCCCAGGGCCCTTGGCGGAACCCTCTGCTGCTGGAATTCACACACTGGCAAACTGAGGACTGGAAGGAGAGACACTGCGCCCTTCCAGCCCACAGCAGACGGAATGCACAGAAAGAACCGTGGGGGTGGGAGGAGCAAAGACCCCCAAAACCTCCTGCGACATGACCCATCGGCATGCCTGAGGACCCAGGAACAATGATCTTCACGGTCAGCCTGCCCTGGGCCTCCCCTGGGTGCCATGAGGTAGGTGCTGATGAGGGAGCCCTTGGACCAAGCGTGGGCCCTGAGGTTTAGAGACTTCTCCACCTGGAGACCAAGCCCTCTTTGCACACAATGAGCAGGACTTCAAAACACACGCCTCAAGCTGGAGCCGGAAGTGCCCCCTGGGCCCTGACTGGGAGCGAAGCCCTGTAGTTCCAGGGGAAGCCTAGATCAGTTCTTTTAGTAACTGTAATTTCTCTACCAATCCCTGCCCCCCACCCCCCCAGCTGTATTCTCAAGTCTGAATAGGTAACTGCTTGGCTTATTTTTACTGTTACCTGGGTTAGTTTTAAATCTGAGTTCTCCCTCACAGTATGACATGGGGAATAATTAATGCTCCCCAGAGCTGTACCTTTCCTGAAGACAGTCTAGCAGAGGGGCCAAGGGGCTGGCACCTGAGGTTGGGGGTGGGGGGTAGCTTCTGCATGAGTCCGTGTATGGGTGTACATACGTGTGTATCTGTCAGGGTATCTTTATTTGGCCACTGCCCCAGGCCACCTCCTGGAAGTGGGAGGTACCCAAGTCAAAGGTGACCTACTTCTGACCTGGGGCCTGGACTGAGGCAGGAGCCAGCCTGAGGGAAGGTGTCTGAGCACATGGCTTCTTGTGACCACGACTCAACAGGGGAAGGTCTCCCTAGGTCTGTATTCAGGACTCTGTGTCTGGAGCCACAGGGAGAACATGATGCCTGTGATACCCTGGGGAAGGGGAAAGGCAAAGATGGGGAACATCGGGGAGCAGGGATCCAATAAGTCTCAGAGTTGGGAGTCCCATGCAGCAATGTCCACCCACCGCCCCAGGGGTGGGGACTGCGGCCTGGGCATCATGGCTGGGAAGTGGCAGAGATGACACACACACCCAGTCTGGCCAAGCTCTGAGGTCAGGCCCCACCTGCTGTCCACGCAGCCTCCACAGAGTCCCCCAGGGATCCTGGGGCAGACCACAGGTGGCGGCTGGGGCTAAGCCCCCAAATCCCACCTACCTCCCCCTTGGGGTACCGGTACCGGTACTTGTCCTGGTCCCGTAGGGCAAATTCCAGTGGATAATGATCCTGAATTTCTTCGTAAGTCATCTCCTCACAGACGCCCTAGGGAGACACGGCAGTTGTCACATCTCCCAAGCCAGGCCTGGGGGTCAGCCCTGTGTTGGGGCGGGGGGAGGGCACGCAGAGGGGACCAGGTTTACAGGGCATTTCCTGGGCCATAGGGGCCCTCCCAGCCTGGAGCTTAGAACCCCACTGGGAAGAGCAGGTCCATGGGGACGCTGAGCAAGGGGGCAGCCCCTCGTTTGTACAGAGCTACCAGAACAGTCTTTTTCCATCCATCCATTACCCATCCATCCAGTTTATGCCATAAAAATAAACAAAGGAATGTTAACTATGTGTCTTTCCTTGTGTCTTTTGTTTTCTGTGCTGTAGAAATACGTATTCTGAGTTATGGACTATTGTACAAACTATAAAGCAAGAATTCACTTGTGTTCTTCAAGACACACACGCACTCACACGTAGCGTGGATTACCTTCTATAAATGCTATTTTTTAAAAAATCCAGCAGAAAAGAACACTGGTTGACAACACATAAGTGTGGTTTAAGGGCCCTGAGAGGGAAAGAAGCCATAAAATGTCCTAATAAAAAGTTGCTGGTCTCTGCCTTTGTTCTAAGTTGTTTTCTAGACAAAGCCTTGGGGCAAAGTTGTCTATTAAAAAAGGAAAGACCAAGAGGAAAACTTTCAATTGTAAATGTCTGTATGGAGAAAAAAAAAGAAAGATCTCAAATCAATAATCTGATCTCCCACCTTAAGATACTGGAAAAAGAAGAGCAAGCTAAACACAAAGCAAGCAGAAGGAAGGAAATAATAAAGATTAGAGCAGAAATAAATGTAATAGAAAACAGAAGACAGAGAAAAGCAATGGAAGCAGAAGTTGGTTCCTTGATAAGATTCACAGAATTCACAAACCTTTTGCTAGACTGACAAGAGAAAAAACTCAAGGGGCGCCTGGGTGGCTCAGGCATTCGGCGTCTGCCTTCGGCTCAGGTCATGATCCCAGGGTCCTGGGATAGAGCCCCACATTGGGCTCCCTGCTCGGTAGAAGCCTGCTTTTTTTTTTTTTTTTTTAAGATTTTATTTATTTGACAGAGACACAGCGAGAGAGGGAACACAAGCAGGGGGAGTGGGAGAGGAAGAAGCAGACCTCCCATCGAGCAGGGAGCCTGATGTGGGGCTCGATCCCAGGACCCTGGGATCATGACCTGAGCCGAAGGCAGACGCTCAACGACTAAGCCATCCAGGCGCCCTGGAAGCCTGCTTCTCCCTCTCCCACTCCCCCTGCTTGTGTTCTCTCTCTCACTGTGTATCTCTGTCAAATAAATAAATAAAATCTTAAAAACAAAAGAGAGAAAAAACTCAAATCACTATGATTAGGCATGACAGAGGAATGTTACTATCAAGCTTCCAGAAAGAGAAGAGACTCTAAGGGACTATCGTGAACAACTCTGTGTCAACAAATGAGATAACTTATGTGAAATAAGAAAATTCCAAGAAAGACAAAAACCATCTTTGTTGAGTCAGATGTGTCCCTGCTGAAAGATACGTTCGAGTCCTAATGCGTGGTACCTGTTAGTGTGACCTTATTTAGAAAAGGGCTTTGGGGCACCTGGGTGGCTCAGTCAGTTGAGTGTTCGACTCTTGATTTCGGCTCAGGTCATGATCTCAGGGTTGCGAGATCAAGCTCCACATTTGGCTTTTCGCTCAGTTTGGAGTCCGCTTGAGATTCTGTGTCTCCTTCTCCCTCTGCCCCTCCCCCCAGCTCATGCATGCTCTCTCGCTCCCTTTCTAAAATAAATAAAATATAGGGCGCCTGGGTGGCTCAGTCGTTAAGCGACTGCCTTCGGCTCAGGTCATGATCCTGGAGTCTTGGGATCGGGTCCCACATCGGGCTCCCTGCTCAGCAGGGAGTCTGCTTCTCCCTCTGACCCTCTTGCCTCTCGTGCTCTCTATCTCTCATTCTCTCTCTCAAATAAATAAATAAAATCTTTAAAAAAAAATCCTCTTTAAAAAAAATATATATATTTTTAAAGATTTTATTTATTTATTTGACAGACAGCGAGAGAGCACAAGCAGGGGGAGTGGCAGAGGGAGAGGGAGAAGCAGACTCCCCTCTGAACAGGGGGCCTGACGCTGGGCTCCATCCCAGGACCCCGGGATCATGACCTGAGCTGAAGGCAGGTGCTTAACCAACTGAGCCACCCAGGCGCCCCTAAAATAAATAAAATCTTAAAAAAAAAAAAAGAAATAGAGTTTTTGCAGATGTAACCAAGTAGAAGAGGTCACCAAGTGTGGGCCCCAGTCCACTGACTGATGTCCTTTCAAGACGACCATGTGAAGACGCAAAAAGACACACAGGGAAAAAGGCCATGTGAGGACAGAGATTGAGGTGATGCAGCTGTAAGTTAAGGAATGCCAAGGATCGTTGGCAATCACCAGATACTAGGTAAAAATATGGGCATTGACAGTGATTCTGCTAAAGGCTCAGAAGGAAGTGAAGCAGAGTAGAGAAAGCTTCTATCATCTTAGAAATACATATATCCTCATGAGCATAATGCTGCTAGAAATACGAATATTGGGGGCACCTGGGTGGCTTAGCTGATTAAGCAGCCAACTCTTGGTTTCAGCTCAGGTCATGATCTCAGGGTCCTGGGATCGAGCCCCATATTGGGCTCCACGCTCAGCGGGGATTCTGCTTGAGATTCTCTCTCTTCCTCTCCCTCTGCGCCACCGCCCTCGCTCATGCTCTTTCTCTCTCTCTCTCAAATAAATAAATAAATCTTAAAAAAAGAAAAAAAAAAGAAATACGAATGTGAAAGGTGCTTCTGGTGAGGCCTCAGAAGGAAATGGAAATGGTATTTAGTGGACACTAAAGAAAAGGTGATCTTTGTTAGAAAGTGGCAGAGAACCTGCTGAATGACGTTCTACTATTGGTTGGCTATAAAAAAAAAACGACAGATAATAACAAGAGTTGGTAAGGATGTGGGGAAATCGGACCCCTCATGCGTTGCTGGCGGGAAATGCTACGGTCTGGCAGTTTTTCACAAGGTTGAACACTGAGTTTACCGTATGATCCAGCAATTCCACTCCTCCGTACACACCCAAGAGAAAGGACAACATGTCCACACGAAAAGCTGCACATGAATGTTCAAAACAACATTATTCCTAAGAGCCCCCAAATGCAAACCCCCCAAAAGCCCATCAAGAGATGACTGGATACGTTGTATGTGGTATATCTGTCCAATAGGATGCATGGCAATATAAAGGAATGAAATTCGGACACCTGCTTGGACCTTGAAAACATGCTAAGTGAAAGAAAAGAACACATGCTAAGTCACAAAAAACCACATAGTGTATGATTCCATTTATATGGAATATCCCCACTGGGCCAGTCCACAGAGATACAAAATAGATTAGCAGTAGCCTCGGGACAGGGCGGGCAGAGGGGTTGGAAGGAAATGGAGGGACGGGATCAGGGTTGCTTCTTTTTGGAGTAATGACATGTTCTGAGATTAACTGCGGTGGTGGGTGCACAACTGTGTGACTATACTAAGAGCCACTGAATTGTACGCATTAGGTAGGTGAACCGTATGGTATGTGAATTATTTCTCAATAAAGCTGGTATTTTTTTTTTTTTTTTTTAAAAAGAACAAATAAGGCCGTGAACTGTGGACTGAACTAAGAAAAAAAAAAATCCCAGTGTTGAAATAGAAGGCTAGCCCAAGGCTGTTTACCAGAACCCAGGAAAAGGAGAAAGATAAACATAGAAAGATGATGAATAGATCACAGATATTAGAACAGTTTCCAAACTCGAAAGATAAAGAAGAGAATCCACCAGCATCTAGGAAAATAATCAGATTAACTACAAAGGAAAAAAAAAAAAAACTGGGGTGGCCTAAGGCTTCTCTGCAAAGCCCGATGTTAGAGCCACATCCAGTACCTGCAGGGCAGACCCTGGCACCCAAGCGGGCTCAGGGAGAGCGAGGAAGGGTGGCTGCAGGCCTCCCACGACTCCCAGCAGCCACAACTGCTGGGAGCCTACAAGATGCTCAACGGAACTACGAGAGGGGTCACAAAGAGTACTAACCCTTTTCAAGAGCTCACCAATTCTCCCCCAGACTGCCTCCTTCCACTCAGTCCATACTTACTGAGCACCCACCATGTGGGGCACAAGGTAGACACAGTTCCTACCCTCACGTGACCCAGAACCCTTCCCAGGGGCCGGAAACCTGGAATGGTCCTGCACACTTGTCTTCTTCTCAAGTTATCACTTCTATCCCTTCCCCACATGTGGGTCCCTGGCACCTGGTCCAGTGCCCACCCCAGGGCAGGCTGGCATAAACACGTGAATAAATGAGTACACGGCCCACAAATCCATCCACTCGTCTCTCCTGCACTGCTGCGAGTCACGTTCCAGATGTCATCCATCAGCTTACCAGGCCACTGCAAGCCCCTCTCACTGGTCTCCCTTCTCCAGCCTGCCCCTCTACCTCGCCCCAGCAAAACCATTCTCTACATGCCAGCTGGGACAACCTTTCTACAAGTTGAATCTGATCTCATTACCAGCTTGCACTTCAGGCACTGGTAGCCCAGCTTTTGCTTCAGAACAACCCTCCAGGGAGAGCAACTAGAAAAGCCAGAGAGAAAAAAAAATTTTAAACCTGCTTGATATTATCATAGAGCTACAAGGCGGAGAGGCCATGAGGGGCCAGGGTCTCGGAGGAAAGGGAAGCTCAAAGAGGGGAACCTGATACACAGCATCATTTCTCCCTTTGGGGTTTTGTTGCTTTGAAAGTGGCAGTTAAAAAGATGAGAAGCTGGGGGTGGGGGAGATGGGTGAAGGCGGTCAAAGGGTACAAAATTCCAGTGATAAGATACATAAGTCTCGGGGCGCCTGGGTGGCTCAGTCGGTTAAGCATCTGCCTTCGGCTCAGGTCATGATCCCAGGGGCCTGGGATCGAGTCCCACATCGGGCTCCCTGCTCGGCGGGAAGTCTGCCTCTCCCTCTGCCTGCCACTCCCCCTGCTTGTGCCCTCTCTCTCTCTCTCACACACACAAATAAATAAAAATCTTAAATTATATATACATAAAAAAAGATAAATAAGTCTTGGGGATATAATGTACATCACGGTGACTACAATTAACAATACTCTGTCGTATATTTGAAAGTTGCTGAGGGACATCTGGGTGGCTCAGTCGGTTAAGCATCTGCCTTCGGCTCAGATCATGATCCCAGGTCCGGCATCAAGTCCCAGCATTGAGTCCTGCACTGGGCTCCCTGCTCAGTGGGGCGTCTGCTTCTCCCTCTTCCCCTCCCCTCTGCTCCTGCTCTCTCTCTCTCTGTCTCTCGCTCACTGGCTCTCTCTCACTCTCTCAAATAAATAAATAAAATCTTAAAAAAAAAAAGTTGCTGAGAGATTAGATCTTAAAAGTTCTCACACACACAAAAATGTGTAACTATGGCAGGTGACAGATGTTAACTTATTTTAGTCATCATTTTGTAATATATAGGTATATCAAATCATCATGTTATGCACCTAAAACTAACACAGTGTTACATGCTGATTATATCTCAGTAAAACGGGGTTGGGTGGGGAGGAGGAGAAGCCAAGCGGGAAGTAGGGACTGGGTGGCCAGAAGCCTGGAGGAACCGGCAACCATCTTGGGCTGAGGGGCCAAAACCAGAAGTTTGGGCCCACAAGGTATTCCATCAGAACCTGACAGGCCACATTCTCGGAGAAGGAGGAAGACCTGAACATTGGCCTCTACAAAGATCAAAATGCAGCTTTGCAACTGTTCTGTCCCTGAGTAGACTAAGGTAACCTACCCCAACTGGCCGCCCAGAGTAAAAGTTAATCCTCTGGAGAGAGAGAACATTCACCCGAGCCTGAATTATCTCCAGCACTGTTCATCCAAAATGTCCAGCTCCCAATCAAAAATTGGGAGTGTATCCAAAATACATAAAGAACTCCTAAAAATCACCAAGAAAAAGGTAGACAATCCAATCAGGGGAGGAAAAGAACGAAAGACCTCACAAAAGATATCCAAATGGCCATGAAACAGAATGAAAAGCTGCCACAATTAAAACAGTGTGATACTGTAAATCATACTTAATATACAAGTAGGTGAAATAAATCAACAGGGAGAAGACAGATGGGTGGTTATAGGAAAGTGAGTTAACTGGGGAGGAATCAGTTTTAAGGCTTATGTTGGAACGCCAGAAGAAATTCTGGTTGGTCGAGATAGTTAAATTCAAAAGAAGAGAAGGAAGGAAAGACATGGGGATGTGGGAATCCAAATCCCGAAAAAACTGAACAAAAGTGAAGGAGAGAGCCGCCCCCCGGGGCCTCAGCACAGTCTCCCTGGCTGAGCTCAGCGGGGGCCCAGGAGCACCGGGCAGGGGAGGGCAGGGATTGGGAGCGCTGATCAGCGGAGGGCGGGGCCTGGCAGCGCTGATCAGCGGAGGGCGGGGCCTGGCAGCGCTAAGCAGCAGAGGGCAGGGGCACTGGGAGTTGGCAAAGGGCAGGTGATTACCGCGTCGATCTCGTTGAGGACCTTCCACTGCTCATAAGGCACACCCAGGGCCTCGGCTGTCTGGATGGTCCTCTTCATCTGGCTCGTCCAGACCTTCAGGTCCTTGATGTTCTGATCACGGATGAACTGGGCCAGACTCCTGGCAAACTGAAATGCATCAGAAGCAAGTTCAGACCCACAGATCCAAGGCGGCCCACAAAGGACCATGAAGCCACAGGGCACAATGGCGTCATGCCCACCCAGCCTCAGAACACAGAGAACTGACCTCTTGAGAACACCCACACCCTCAAGTGCTGTCCTTCTGCATTCTCTCCAGACCCTCCGTGCAGTTCCAGTTGTGGATCATTATGTCCCCTGCCGTTGCCCACCTCCCGACCATGTGTCCTGGACCATGTGACCTCCCTACAGAGGCCTGAGTATCTCCCCCCGGACGGTGGTGCAGCGATCAGCTGCATTGCAGGGACTTGGGTCATTCCCATAATGGCATGCCTCTCCAGGGAAAGGGGCTCAGCTGGTGACAGCTCACATGGAAGCCAGAGATCCAAGCATGGTGCTTGGTGACTTTCCCTACATGACAGGAACATTCCAGACTGAATGAAGTTCATCCACCTTGATTACACATGAGCTATAAGAGCTGGAGTCCAGGCCCATTGGACACATGCATACATGTACCCAGCTGCCCAGAAGTACCAATGCACAGCTGCCCTCACCACCCCTGAGCACGCCAGCGCGCGCGCACACACACACACACACACACACACACACACACACTGACCTCCCTGCCCCGGGGGGACAGTCCCGGGTCCCCGCCAATCCGGCCCTTGAGATTGAGCTCACTTTCCCCGTGCCGGCAGAGGTAGATGGAGCGGGGGGTCACATGGATGTTCATGAGGTAATACACGATGCGGCTCTGGATGTGATCAGCCACCCGGTTCACCACATAGCTCTGCCCCACGTCCATGATCTTGATGTAGGACAGATCCCTTTCCAGAGAGAAGGTCGAGAGAGAGAGGTGTGAGTGTGACTGGGCCCCCGAGGGCTCATCCTGCCACCATCGGAAGTGGCCACAGAGCTGTGCATTTCGGACCACTGGGCTTGAGATCACAACACATGGACAGGCAGCTGGTGTGCAAGTGACAGGGGTGAGGACGGAGCAACACAACACGTGGGACAGCCAGACAGACCCTGTGAGAGGTGCTCAACACTTATCGTGTTTCCAAAAGGTGACATCCAAAAGGTCAGTCATATACATTGTGACTTTCACTGCTGCTCTGTGGCCCCCGGACCCCGCTTGCCTACCTCTGAGCTCTCAACGCACAGTCTGTAAGGTGAATAAGAGATGTTTTTTTCCAGGACTGACCTGGGGGCAGCTGGCAAATGCTCCTCGCCTCCGCTCCCCTTGCCAGCCACCCCTGGACCTGCCTTTCCTTCCCCCAATAAACCCCGCCCCTGTACCCCAGCTCAGCCACTTCCCTTGCTCGCTCAGGCTGGGCAGCGGGGCAGTTGGGAGAACACGTTCTGTCTGCTTCTGCTTGCTGGGTGCTGGGGAGGCAACAGGAGGAAAGATGGGGTTTCTCAGGCATCGTGCTCTGGGCTGGCCCAGGGAGGCCCTCTGAAGGTTCTCATCTGAGTTCTCACTGTCTGGCCCGAGGGCCTGGGTTTCGGTTTAGGGTTGTTACATGGACACCAATAAAAACAGTAGCAATGTTAACTGAGGAATCCAACAGGAGCTGTTCCCGTTAAGCCTCTCTCGTGCGCTCACATCACAGAACTACGAGAACCATTGTGCCGGGGTGACTAGAGAAACACGAAAAACCACCGGGGCCCAGGCAGTGGGTGCTGACTGGCTGGGGTTGGCCACAGAGCCTCGCCAAGGAGACTCAGCCAGAGGAGGAGTTCCTACTGGAGTTCCAGTAGGAACTATTCTGTAAAGACCCCCAGAAATCATCCCTCTTACGGGTGCTTGTTCCCCTTGGTCTGTACGCATTAGATGTTCTCATGTGATTATACAGGACCCTACGCCCAAGTTTATATTCCAGACTTTCACTTAATGCCACATAACTTACCCTGTCCCCAGTGTCTTGGCTATGATCTGTGACTATGCAATACTTTACCAAGGGGCCACAGTGTTACTTGCTTAACCACTGCCCCCACTTTGGCTGTAATACAGAAGTTGGCAAACTATAGCCAAAAAGTCAAATTCGGCCCGCAGCCTGTTTTTGTAAATAAAGTTTTATTGGAACGCAGTCATGCCCATTTATTGACATATTGTCTATGTTTCCTTTGCACTACAATGGCAGAGTTAAATAGCTCAACAGAGACTGTATGCCCCCAAAAATATTTGCTACCTGACCCTTCACAGATAAAGTTTGCTACGGTAAGAGCCTCAGCTGATGCCCCTTGTGGGCCTAAAGACCCCTCCCCACCCAACACTTAACTCCTGCTGGGTCGGCCATTCCAGAAGGAGGCAGTGGGGCTTATCAGCATGGGTCACTGTCAGCTGTAAGCAGGATCTGGGCACTCCTTCCCCCCCGTCTCAAAACACAGACTGCACACTTAAAGAACACGTAATGTTCGCAAATGCCTTGCGGGAAGACTCTCCACATAGAAATTAGGCTTGATTTTATAAGGGAATGGCAGAAAATTCTGTTCTTTCTTCCTTTCTTCCTCCCTCCCTCTCACCCTTCCTCCCTTCCATTCTAGTAAGCTCTATGCCCAATGCAGGGTCACTGAGTCATATGGAATAACAGAAAACTCTGACTTGCAGAGCCCCAGATAAGGTAATAGGGGTTCTGCAAGTCACCTCTGGCCCACAATTTCTGCCCAAAGGAAAGAAACAAGGCCAGACCATCTCTGCCTGCTGGGGTGGCCGCTCAGCCACCACCCCGGCGAGTCACAAGGAGGCAGCTGAGCAGGACCCCCACCACCCACCCATCCTAAGCTGCGGGACGTGGTGCTCTCCTCACTCACCTGTCCAGGTCCTCATCCAGCGACTCGTACGAATTCTCATAGCACTCAATGCGCCGCATGAAATCTTCCGTGGCCTTGTCACTATCATGGTTCACATAGTCAGGGCTGCCCAGTTTCACTTGCTGCCGGACCAGGCACAGAGCAAGGACACATCAGGCTTGGAGGCCAGGCAGGGCTAGAGACCAAGGAGGATGCTGGGCAGGGGGTGAGGGGAGGCTGAGCCAGAGGCCAGGACAAGGCTGGGGGCATGAAGCTGGCGGCCGATCCCCGGAGACTGGTTCCATTAGAAGGAGTCCAGCAGTTCCCTGGTCTTAGTTCCCACGCCAGTGCCAACAGAGTGTTACTGGGCAGCCTAAGATAGGAGTCCTCATCTTTGTGGCACAGGGGGATGTGAGGCCAGAGGGGCAAAGGGCCCGGAAGCCCCTTCCCAGCTGAACCATCTCCCCCAACCTAGATGTTCATTCCTTGGATAAACAGGGGGCAGTGGAGAGAGGTCAAATCTCTTTTGCTTTCAAAATATAAACATCACTTCCTACCCCCACCCCCTACCTCCAGAGGCTGAAGCTCCTCTCTCACTGTCCAGGGAATGATGAGGGGGAAAGGGAGGGGAAGGTAAGAGGAGAGAGCAAGCGTGAATGCCCCCCAGCTACACGGCCCTCCACACAAGTGGTGCTCAGGAGTCTCCGATCACCTGATCTGGCCTTGCGCTGCCTTCCCTCCCCGCCCCCAAGGTTCAAGAAGCCCAAATCGAGGCTGGCCTAGGCACCAGCCCAAACCCAGAGACAGACCTCACTGTCACATGCCACCTCAGCTGTATTACTGCCCCCACAAGGTCAGAGACACCACTCACCACAATGTTAGCAGCTATGACCTCAGGATCCACACAGATGGACTCCACAAAAAAGGTCTTCGGCAAGGACAAGGGCCGGCAGGAGGGAAGGAACCATAGACACATTCAGGGTCCTGGGCCTGGCTCCATGGAGCTCCCACCTCCCTGATGGCCAGGGTGACCCCAGGCCCTTCTTCTGGGGGTGGGGACAGGGTCGAGAAGCCCCCAACCAAACTAGGTGCCATCCTAGCCAGGACCCTCCCATAAGATGCCCACCTCCCCAAAAAGAAAACCCCAGAGAGGAAATGGCAACCCCTGTATCCCACATCCACTCTGGAGCCCACCTGCCTGACACCCACGCACATCAGGAGGCTGTGAGAGGGGCCCGGGGCGGGGGGTCCAAACATGCCACAGCCCGACTGAGGAAGTGAACCAAAGACGCCTCACCTTGTAGCCATTCTGTTCCCCAAAATTAAAGATGGTCGCTCTCCGCTCTCGGGTGGTATTCGTTGCATCAAAAACCTAAGACCAAACCAGGTTCACTCGGACTCTGGCCCTGGAGCAGGGGGGAAGCCAGCTGACAGCGGCTGCAGGGGAACCAGATTTCTCACGGGGACCAGCTCATGCCCAGGCCACCCGCCTGGCCGGTCTCCTTTAGACCTGCGAGGCCTGGGCCGGGCCGCCCCTCCCTCAAGGAACACGCCTCAGGGAAGCTGGGAGGAGTGGGTACCTGTGTTCCCAGCAGGCACTCAGTCCATGCTTGGCCAACAGGACTTCCTGTAAAACCAGTTAAACATGGAGTGCGGAACCCCTGTTTATTTCCACTCCATCCTGAGACTCCACGGAGATGGGAAAAGAAAAATAAAGAGAATGGAAGAGGAGATGTCAACAAAATGTGGGGGACTGACTCGGAGAGACGGAGCAAACCAAACATAAGCCCTCAGCCCGCACAGCACACCCACCCGTGCAGAACGGGCAGCATCAGGAACAGGACCCAGTTGTCTCGGAGAAAAGGAACAAGGGTGCAGAGGAAAAGGGGGGACTGTCCGGTGGTGCAACTAAGAGCAGGTGGAGCCCCAGGCCCTCTCCCTGCCTCATCCGGCCAGGCTGACCCATCTAGGGCTCCTCCTGAACCACCTGGGGCCCGTCCACGTGCCCTCAGGGGTGACCCACTCACCCGCGTGTCTAAAAGCAGCTTTTAGAGCATCACTTTTTTTAAAAGGGCATTCAACCAGGGCTCATGGGCTGCTCCAGCAAAACCCCGAATGTGAAAAACAGAGACTACATAAAAAAGAATAAAAGGAACTTTGAGAAAATGAAGACAGGACAGAGAACAGAAAGATATGTCAAACAAAACAAAACAAAACAAAACAAAACCTTACAACTGTTATCTAAAGAGAGAGACAAAATACTGTAATAACCCCCAAACAGAAACAGAGTTCTAAAAAACTGGAACATTCAGTGATGAGAAATTTAGAATTTAGAAATTAAAACATGATCACAGAAATTCTTTAAAAATTCAACCGAATGCTTGTACAATAATGTTGAGATAGTCTCCCTGAAAATAGAACACAAGTGACAGAGATAGGCAATCAGGAGGAAAAAAAAAAGATATAATTAGGGCTCAAGCCCAGCATGAAACCACCAGGAGTTCTAGAAAAAGCAGCTCAGAAAAATGGGAGTGGAGCAGAGAATCAATTGTCAGAAACTGGTGGGGGTGGCTTATCAAAGTAATAACAGGTGACAGGTTCCCTGACCTGTTAGAAAAGAGTTTCTCATTGGAGAGGGCCGCCCCGGGACCCAGCATGGTGGAGAAGACCCATCACAAGGCCCTAAAGTTCTCCCCAGGGAAAAGGGCATGGGCAGCCCCAGTTCCCTCCAAGAGATGAAACTTTTGGGAAGATCAGCAAATCAGAATGCCATCCAACTTTTCCACAGCTACTCTAGAAGCCATACTACAACAGAGTGATGTTGTGGAAATTCTAAAGGAAAAACTTCCCACCTAAACCCAGCCATCAAATAGGATAAAAAAAGACATTTCCAGACACACAAGATCTCATGTGAGGTAATTCCCAAGTACCTTCCTCAGGAAGCTACTGGAGTATGTGCTCCAACTAAACAGGTCAGTAAACCAAGGAAAAAGAAGACATGGGGTCTGAGAGCAAGGCTTCAACTGGGGAGTCAGGAGGAGGGAACTTCCAAGACCCAGAAGGTGACTGATCCAGATGGGGCTGGGGGATTATGAGCTGCAGGAAGCACGCCTCCAAGAGGAAAAAGGAAGGAAAAGGCAGCTCCTGTGTTTGACTGCATAGGGGGAGAGGAGGGGCCTTTCCCATAGACACCCTTGCTCAACCTCATCCCACCCATCCATCTGACAGGAGGGGCCAACACATCGTTGGAATTCCATTACCCAGGATTCAGCGGGTTCCTGGAACAGCCACTAAATGTGGGGCAGGATTCTCCCCAGACCAGAAGAAATCACATTGGCTAAAGACTTAGGTAACAGATACCACATGTGGTGACCAACAATGTGAGTATTCAGAAGGAAGTCCTACTGGGTCAAATGCAACCACAAGCCCAGAGGGAAATTCCCAGCACACATCCAGCCTCTGGCTTCCTCCTTTATAGTGGCTGTAGACTTCCTCCCAGGGCCCTGCACACCCTCCCTTCCCTGCCAGACACCTGACGAGCAAAGGGCTAGATGTAGCTAGGCTCCCACATGCCACTCCCAGAAGTCGCGGGGATGTCCCACTCACCGCCACGTGTCCCCCCTCCTCACTGAGGAACCGCCGGACATCACGGAGGGCTGCCAGTGCACACTGCCTTCAGAAGAGAAAACACAGGGTCAGCCCTGCACCCGACTGTGGCCGCAGGAGGGCCACAGATCAGAGACACATCCTACCCCAGCCCGGAGAGGGCCCAGTCCCTGGGGCCCCTTCTCTTCTCAAGGGCTCTCTTTCCTTGAGGTCATTTCAGTGCTTTTGCTAACTCTGCTGTAAGTGGAAGGCTATGTGCTCCTGGCCACTGGGGATATTTTTTAAGATTTTGTCAGAGAGAGAGCGCGCGCACAAGCGGGGGAACGGCAGGCAGAGGGAGAGGCAGATTCCCCACCAAGCAAGGAGCCCGATGTGGGACTCGATCCCAGGACCCTGAGATCATGACCTGAGCTGAAGGCAGACGCTTAACCGACCGAGCCACCCAGGCGCCCCTTACCTGCACTTTCTTGATGAAAGAGTAAAGTTAGATCTTCTTCCATTTGTTTGAACTTTGGATTGGGTGTGTAAACCCCAGCGCATCCAAGGGCAGTGCTGCCAGGCCTTTCACTGGCCGGGCCGCCGTGCCCAAGCATGGAGGCATAGGCCAGGCAGAGCAGGGGGCAGCCCGCTGGGGTCAGGGGCAAATTGGTGGCAGAGCTGAGTCCGCGTCCCTGGAAGGAGCTCTGCTCCTATGCCTCTTTGTGACCTTTCTGCACCCCGGTGGGTCTTTCGGTTAAAACTTCAAAGAGCTTTCCTCTGCCCAAACCCCCTGAATTCTGAGAGTCTGGGAAACTGGCACTGCCGGAGCCATTTCTGGCCAGCCTCACGAGCGCCCCAGGTCCTGGGCTAGGTTCAGTGCGTTGCTCTGGCTGAGGCAGCACCAGGAAAGAAGGATCTCAGGGCTCCAGTGGAGATGGGGGATGAGCAGCCCGGGAGCCCGAGCGTTTGCGGGTGTGGGTGTGAAGCGGGGGCAGGCGTATGGGACTGAGCCCTTCACCTGTGCAGACTGATGCTAACTCCAGGTGGACCGTGTCAGAACTGGCCTGAATGGAATTGTTAGCCGCACGTGCACGTACCCGTGCCCACGGGCGGGCCTGTGGGCTTGTGTGCAGTAGGAGACCGAGTGTGCAAGTATGAATGTGCCTCGTGGTGTATGTGTACACGTGACCTGCACGTGTGCACGTGACCCTGCATGCCCTTTCCTGGACCTTCCACTGTGCCCGGTGTCAGGGACAGACACCAACGCTGTGTAGCTTCCAGGGACCTCAACAATGTGTGGTCACCCAGGGCTCTGGGAAATTTAGCCTTCTCTTCTCGGCCTTCCCATTTTAAAAAGTCTGATCCTTCTATGTTGCCAATCACCTGTGGGACCTTTTGGGCTGGTCACTGGGAAATGGTCCTGAAGCCCAAGGGCCAGAGCCAGCCTTTAGATTCAGGAGGGAGGGTTTCTAGGAATAGCCAGAAGGCAAGCCTGCAGACAGGCCCCCGTAAACCTGCCCCCAGCTTCTCCTGCTGAGGCCTCTGTTCCAGCTGGGCCACCCTGGACTAGCTTCCCAACCTCTCCAAGTCGGGGTTTCCCCATCTGAGTTAATCTCAATACTCCTACCTTCGACAGGAGGCCTGAGCAGATTTACTGGTGGGCCCTGGGAGGGCCAGCTCCCTTATTCTTCCCACAGACACTTTGGATTCAGACAGGCCTGGCTTCAAATTCAAACCCTTCAAATTCAAACCCTGCGTGATCCGACATAGTACCATCACTTTCAGACCTTGCCTCCGCATCTGGGGGAGTGAGGTGACACCACCGGCCGCATGCAGGGGAGAGCAAATAAGCTGGTCGGTGCCCACAGCTTGAGATTGTTACAGAATTTGCACGGGATACAGCCTCTGCCCTACTAACTGGGTAACACTAGAAAGATGGGCACAGCGGTTTTTAGTGGTATGGGCTAAAGATTCAAAGCTGGGCTCTGGGAAGTAACTTGTTATCTTGTGTGAGACTCCTGAACCTCAGCTTCCTCACCCATAAAATGGGGAGGAGGAGTGACAACAGGCAGCATGCACCCAACACACAGCAGGAGTTCAAATATCAGTTCCCTCCCTTTTGTCTGGGTCACCAGAGGGTCCAGCCTCCAGTTTTACCCACAATTAGGACAGAGGCCTGAACGTCAGACTCCCCTGCCCTTTCCTGGTGCTGCCGCAGCCTGGCGGAGAGCCCAGGCTGGGGAACGGCCAAGCCCCACAGTGGGGAGCTCTTGCCCCCTGGTGGCCAGAGACAGAGCAGACAGCCTAGTATCCAGGCCTGGGCAACAACCCAGGAGCTTCTGGCCTGGAGCTCCACTTGATTTGGGGAGGTCACTAGAGCTGGGCCAACCTCTGCTAAATGCCCTACCACAGTGGCTGGACCCAGAGCAAGGGCAAGGAAGCTTCTTGATCCCTCAGCTGATACCTCCCCAAAAGAGCACAGATCCTCAGACCACCAGTTGGTGTTCTTGGTTCAAGTCTGAATGGGGTAGGGAGGGCAAGAGGTAGGGTATCATATGCAAATTCATGAATGAGAACAGGAGGGTGAAGTCTGAGCCACATGAAAGCAAAGCCAAGGCCTGTCCTACCCATGCCAAGAACATGCCAAGCACATGCCGAACATCCTCCAAATTTATCCCAGGGCAAGGGAAGGAAGGGTGCGGTTCTGGGCCCAATCCTTCTAGCTTTGTGAGAAGGTGCCAGAAGGTAGTCCCTCTCCCACTCTGCCCCATCCCAGAGGCCTGTGTCCCTGCACCCACTGGGTCCCCCTCCTTACCAGAGGCCATGCCCACGGAGGGCCTGGGGTAAGCAAGTAAGAGGTCTCTGCAGCGGGCCCATGACCTGCCCTGGCAAGGTCTCCTCCATCTCTCTGAAGCCCCATCTTCCCCTCCCATAGGACGTCCTTACTAAGGGTTCATGAATCCCAGGGCAGAGCCAGCCACCAAGAGGCCATACACCTGGGGTACCTGAGTGGCTCAGTCAGTTAAGCATCTGCCTTCGGCTCCGGTCATGATCTCAGAGTCCTGGGATCAAGCCCCAAGTCAGGCTCCTTGCTCAGCAGGAAGCCTTCTTCTTCTTCTCCCTCTGCCCCTTCCCACCGCTCATGCTCTCTCTCTTTCTCTCTCTGTCGCAAATAAATAAATAAAATCTTAAAAAAAAAAAAAAAAAAAGAGGCCCTACACCCTCTCCCGATGTCCCCATATCCAACACATCCCCAACCCCACCACATCCTGAGAGGTCAGGAGACCAGCCCTGTCACAGGCACAGCAAGGCCAGGGCTCAGGAGCAGCTGGGCACCTGGGCTCCTGGGCTCCAGGGTCTTCTCTGTAAACATACATAATCACACACATACACACACTCACTTCCTGATTTTTAGGCCCTCTTCATTGTCTGGAAGGAAAAATTCAAAAGACTTGTACGTCTTGACCATGTCCCGGCGATACTGGCCAACGTTGAATTCTGGGGGAAAGAAAGGCTCAGCTTTCACACAGCATCAGCCCTCCCCAGTTCTTGACCTTGACCCACCCCAGGCCAGCCTTCTCTCTTCCCTTCCCCTCCTCCACAAAGCCCCAAGGCCCCCTTGGAAGCCAAGGCCAAGTCTCACCGCGAGTGGGCACGCCAATCCAGTTCAGGTAGCGAGTCAGCTTCTTAGAGATGTAGGTCTTGCCCCTGGCGGGCAGGCCTACCATGACAATGAGCGTTGGGCAGTTGGTCATGCAAACTGAAAGGCAAGGAGGCCGTGTCAGATAGGGGCTGGGATGCCTTCCAATGTGCCCCTCCCTCTGCTCCCCGCACAGGATATCAGACGGGCCTTCCAGGCCTCCTGGCCTCAGACTCTGGTCTCGAGCCACCACCGGCATAACCCTGCTGCCCAGGCCTGTCTGGGCTCCAGCAGTGCAGATGATTTCATCAGCCCCTTATCCTGATGGGTGCCTCCGATATAAAGCTGGACCTGCCCCGCCCCTGAATGAACAGGCGGGACAGAGCCAAAGCCCAAGAGATAGTCAACGCCCACCTGTCATCCGGGAATCCCACACCCCGCCTGCACAGCCTTTCAACATTCCTGCTAGCACAGTTCCACTGCTTACCCTCCCTGCTGGGAATTTTGCCTCATCTGGTACAAAGCCCAGCTCAAAAGCTGCTTCTTCAGTGAGACCTTCTTCCCAGCCACCTCCGTGCTACCCCGGCACACTCCCTCCATCCTGATCACCTCACCCATGAGTCTGCCCCCTGCACCTGATCACTTGGAGCGAGGGCAGCCCTGCAGTGTCTGAGCCATTCTGGATCATGTGGTCTGGCACAGAGTTGGTGCTCAAAAATTATGGGGCGGGGGGGGCTGGCATCTCGAAATCACCCAGGGTGAGTGCCACAAGGGGCTGAGACCAGAGACCTAGACCAATGTCCACAAGGACTGTCCCTCAGACGGCCCACCTGCCACCATCCCACGTGCCACCAGGTCAGTGCGCCAGCCAGAGAAGTTGCCGAGGCCAGAGGCAGGGACAGGTCTGGACACAGCATCCCCAAACCCTGGCCCACTGGGACAGACACCAAGACAGCAAAACTACTGGCCTCACGTGACCCGGCTCCACTTTCAGTGTGGCCTCACTGCAGAAACCTTAGAAAGCTTCCCTTCCACCATCCCCAGCACCTGGGCCATGTGAAACCACAGCAGACAGACAGGCAGCCCATGTGGGCACCTGTCACTGCCCCTCCTTTGTCCCCAGGGCTCTTCAAGTGCCTTCTCCTGGTAGCTCTTCTTGGACAGCCTGCTGGGCCCTACCCCTCAGCTTGTCTCCCTCACTGGAGCTGGAGCACAGAGGCCCCAGGGGCAGCCCTGTCTAGGGCTCAGGAGTCAGGTCTAGGTTCCTCTCTTGACTCTGATCATGACTGGCAACTCTGAGCCTTGGTGTCCTCACCTGTCAAATGGGATGATAAATGCTCAGTGAGGCCTAGCACTATCTCCAGGTAAAAGCCAGGGCATGCCTGGGAAACTGTGCCCCCTGCCCAGCCCTGAGGACACAGGTGCACCTCAGCACCCACTGCCCTTGGGACTTGGGGTGCAGAGGCACCTGTCCATCTCTAGGCAAGCCCTCGGAGAAGTAAAGGGCCCTGCTTGCCAGTGGGGGCTCCATCGCTCCTGTACCTGACCTTTGGGCAAATGTGACCCAAACTGTGAGCCTCAGGGGAGGGAAGGAGAGGATCCCACAGAACACAGGCCAACAATGAGCAAGAGTGAATTTGCAGAAAAACCCCAGCATTGGCGAAGGTGAGAGAAAAGCAAGTTAGGCAAGGACCTGCATCCTGAGAGCCAGTGACACTGAGGCCTGTGCTGTTTGCACAACTGCGGGTCAGGGTTCTCAAGCAACCAAATGGCAGTGAATCAGCTACTAAGCACGGGGGAAGCCTACACACCCAGCCTGCTCCCCTCCTTCCCACTGCTCCCTGAAGGGCTCTCCCACAACCTCAGGAGTGGGGTTCTGCATCCCCTCTTCACATCTCCTACCTTCCCAGAGACAGCCCTGGCCTTCTCCCCCAGTGTGTGGTGACAGGATCTCCTCCCTGGCCCCATGCACGGCCACAGTAGGCAGGCAGGGTGGTCAACCAGGACTGGGTGCAAAACAAGAGCAATAAATTACCTATCAACTCTTTTCCTCAAGCTAAGCTACCAAGGAAATGACCCAAAGAAAGCTCAAAGTACAAGTGTATTTGCAGTAGCTCTGCTTACAACAGCAAAACATACGCAAGCTAGCAGAGGAGGAATTACAAACTGAGGCCCACAAGACAGCACACTACAGGGCCTGAACAGAGAGAGCATATGCACCAGGGGAGCTGGGGTGCAGCCGGAGCTGCAGCTCTGGGCCCTTGAGAGCCTCGCTACTGAGCAACTACACAGCAGAACCTGAGGCTTATGTGCAGAAGGAGATTTGCAGACATGTCCATTCAACTTACCTCACTCGTTCCTTTTCCTATAAATTTGCTTAGGGCCGCAAGAGCCCTAGGAATCAAGAGGCCCGGGACAAGCCTGGTGCTACCCTGTGATGACTTTCTGGTGGGCCACCTCAGGGGCAGCCACAAGTCCTGGAGAAGGTTCCAGAACTGCACCTGCTCCCACTTCCTTGGGGCCAGGCTGGGGAAGGGAGAACTCTTTAAAAAGAAAGCAACCTGGCATCACTGTCCTGTTCAGAGGGGACAGAAAGTCACCTCTCCTATTGTCCTGTTCACATTCCAGTTGTGTCCCTAGCCAAGAAGTTCTTGCTACCTTTTTGCTAATAAAGGCTATCACCAGCACTGTCCTTTCTGGCATGCTCCGAGTCCTTTCTTCAGCCCCTGCCTGACCTGCCCCCAGAGCTCCTCCAAGGCTGAGCTGAGGGGTAAATGATGAAGAAGGTAACAGCTTCCAGGCCCTCATGCTTAGCTCTGAGTTTCACCAAAGGAATAAGAATTGCTAATGGAGAGTAGGGGTGGAGGAGGCATAGCCACGCAGCCCCTGGGGCCCTCAGGGGCCAGGGACTAGACGCCAAAGACAACCCACTACACAGCACAGACCAACCATGGGCTCCGTATCCTCTTCTCTACAAGCCCTGTGATCAGGTCAGCTTCCACCCATCCCCCACCCTCACGTCCTCACCTGTCCTTGTGGTCTTCCACCAAGTTATCGATCTACCATACAGGGGGTAAAATGCTACATGAAAACAGGCTCTGGGGACTGCGGGTGCTGCCCAGACAGGTTCCATGTTCACTCATGGCTTACTCCCTGCTGTGAACTCAGGGACCCTTGCCTGGGGCCCAAACCCCCATACAATCTGCAGGTCTCATCTTTGGTTTCTTGGGTGCCTCCTCCTCCAGGAAGCCCTCCTGTGCTGGGCCAGTCCAGAGTCTCACCTACTGTAACACCCTGAGACACTGCCACACGGAAGGCCCTCTGCTCAGGCCAGAGGCATATTTTCACCGCATCCTTGGAGCTTGGAGAAACACAGGCCCCTCCCCACTGGGCCTCAGCATCTTTGCCATCTGGAATGGGGGTTGGCTCAGAGCTGATGCTTCAGTTCCTGATTCTGAGGCACTGAGAAGCAAAGAAGGGTGGTGGCGAAATGACAGCACCAGCTGCCACCACTTATCAAGCATCTCCTCGAAAAGAGGCTCACAGCAGCTCCTGGGAGCAGGGATGATGACTGTCTCCACCCCACAGATGAGGAACCCATGGCCTAGCGGGTCAGCTCCTTGCCCAAGGTCACACAACTGAGCCATGATGCGGCTTGAGTGTTCCTGCCTTCAAAGCCCAGGTTCTGACTTCTTCCCCTTTATATAATAACAGCGGCCACCCCCTCGTTAGGACAACACAGACTGGCTAGAAGCACAAGAGCAAGGGGCCTTGGCCTCGGTCCCTCCAGAAAAGTCTGGAAGGAGGGCTGGCTAGGCGGTCGCCATTGCCTCTCAGGACTGAGTATTGACTGGAAAGCCATGGCCCCGGGGCTAAGAGCCTGATCACCACCTCAGCATCCTACCCGGACCTACATCATGGTCAGAGCCATGACCCACCAGAATGCCCGGTCAAAACCATGGCCACCCCCTACCAGGACCCAGTGTGGTAAGAGATACACACAGCCCACCCACAGGACTTACATCTTGGTCAAAGCCAGGGCCCCCAGGCTGGCCTCAAGGCAAAACAAGAACGGAGCACTCTCCCCTCCCTTATCATGCCCAAGCAGAGGTCAAGGAGTACAGGGAGACCTTAGCACATCACACAATCTCCTGATCTCCATTTCTATATCTGTACAAGTTGGACTAGATGTTCTCTGAGGTCCTTGCCAACTTGCAAATTCATTATAATGTTTCAGCTACTCCTAAAAAAACAAACAAAAAAAACCTTTGTTTTTCTTGGCAATAAGTGATTGCAGACTCATTTAAGAACAAGCAGAAAGTCAAGTAAAGTGGATTAAACACCGGGATCCCAGGAAAGGCGAGCCCCTTAACAATTCCTTAACAATTTCATGAATTTCAGCATGTCTCCTGGATGTTTCCCCCTCCAACTTTACCATTCACCCACGACCCCACCTGGATGCACCCCATGGACACAAAGACAGGTCCATATGGGACGGTGTTCTCACTTTCTCCATCCTCAGCACAACTGCACTTCCCTGAAATTCCTCCCAAAGCTCGGTTTTAGCCCCAGAGGTGGGTAGTTAAAGCCAAGGGGACTGGCCCACCTTTGGGCCTCTGAAAGTTCTGGGCTCAGAAAGGTCAAGCGATTTCCATAAGGCCAACACAGCTCAGACCTGGCCGACGCTCTCTGGCCTGAAGTGAATGGCAGCAGGAGGCTCCGAATCCTCCCCTGGCCTGACCTGGTGGGTACAGACTCGGGTGACAAGGGGCCGGAGGTGATGGTAGCCGGACCTAGCCCCTAGCGAGGGGAGACGGCGACGTACCTGTCTCCGCCCCCTGTTCTGCCACACCTGTGCCCAGCCCTCGACCTGTTCCTGCTCCCCTACCACCAGTCACGGCAGCCTCACCTGTCCCCCACCTGGTTCTTGGCCCCCTTTCCGTGCGAGACCACTGCCCAGGCCGCCCTATCCACCCATCCCCGTGCACCACCCTCCCCTTTTCCACGGACCCCGCCTCACCACGGCGCTGGCAGGCGTGCAGAGCGGGCCTCCCATTGCTGTACGGCATCCAGATCTTCTTCAGGGGGTTCTGGGTCAGTTCCCGTGGGGACGCCATACCCGGGACGTAATGAGTCGGACCGCGCGGCTTCCGACCCAGCCGCCAGGCCACCTCGGGCCACTCGAGGCCCCGCCCCTCGGCCCCGCCCCTCCTCGAGCCTCCTCGAGCCAGTCAGACTCCCCGCAGGCCCCGCCCCAGAACGAGTAGGCCCTACCCCATCTGAAGAGGGCCCGGCCTCCGATCACGCATGCCCAACTCGCCTGCCAGCCGGTTTTGGACCCAGCAGGCCCACCCTTCACGCCGGGATCGGGGACGCGCATGCCCAACTCCGCACAGGTTCAGGGCCTGGATAACAGTGCGGACCCTGCCGGGGATGCACGAGCCCAGCACGCCCAACGGGACCGCGCAGATTTGCATCGGCCTCATCCACCGCTTCGATTTGCACAGCCTTGCCCGCAGGGCACCCGGGTTCCGTTCACTGCTACCGCTGATCTCGGGGCCCCCGGGAGGGAGGGATCTGCAGGCCAAGGAGCTGCGCCTGTTTGACCCGCAGGTCTCAGTTGGCCAGGACCAGTGTGGTGGCCCCTGCGTTATGCCAGTTGTCAACCGCTGCGCCCCCCAGCCGTGTGTCCCGACCCTCTCTCGAGCCCCAGGATTCTTCCTCGCCCACTGGAGTGACCGGCGCAACCACGCTGGAAAAATCTTTTACCTCACAGACAGGAATATCTCAAAATTGTTTCCTCTCTTTACCTTGGCCGCTCGGGAACTCAGGCTAAACTCCAGCCCACCTGGAGCACGTGAGCAGAACCTTTTAACCAAGGTCCCTGGGGACTCACTGAGCCCTGGCAGTATCTTACTTCTTCCAGGATTTCATTTTTACCAATTAAATTGTAAATTGTAAATTTGCATATGTTAAAAATGATCCTCCGTCTCATCATCAGGAAAATAGAATGCAGGCATCATCAACCTTACAGGATTCTGGTATAGATTAAATGTGTCAGTGTCTGAGAAATCCTTTCTAAAGCAATTAGTGATATCATTTATATTACTTATCTCCCTCCTGTCTCTAAGAATGCAGTAGAAGCAAAGGGCAGGGGAGAAATCCAGAAGTTCAGGAACCCTGGTTCGTTCTCCTTTGTCTCCTCAGGCCTGCTTCTCCAAGTTCTGTACACTTTCTGTCCTGGGGCGCCCCCACCGACACTGCTCAAAGCTGGGTCACACTGCCCTCTAGCGATGTCCTCCACAAAACCCCCAGACAGGATCATGACATCCTCAGGTCCTCTCTCACCAAAGTGTGTCCAGCCAGGATAACAAGACTCTGCCCAGCGCACCACAGGTGCAGCACCCCCCTCCCTCTGACCTCCCTGCCACACACTTGTCTCCACCCAGCACTTCAGAGCCTGGCAAGGACCCTTAAGATAACTCTGATATAGATGTCTTGCCCCCTTCACAGGAGATGGAAGGTTCAGGAGGCGGAAGCCCTCCTAGATCCTCCCTAAAACCAGCTCTAGCCACCTACCCCAGGAGGAATGCCCTGCCCCCAGACAGAGCTGAGCACTTCCTCCTTCATCCTTCCTCTGCAGTGTCCACCCCCCACTTCCCTCCACCTGATGCAGAGGCAGCTCTGAGCACACCCGTGGGCAGCTCCTGATGAGCAGGATACCCCTTGTGACAACCCGCCCACTTTCCTACTTCTCCAAAGCTACTCATTCTGTTCCTGACACAGCCAGCCTTGCCATCTGTCTCCTAGCCATTGCCAAGGCCATCCCGGGGCCACCTTGACCTCAGAGACCTTGTCACCACCCGCCCACACCCTGTCCACCCCCCAGCACTTATTGCAAAAGCTACGTGCTCTAGCATCCACAGTCACCCAGCACTTCCTCTGGCCTGCCCATTCTCCTCCTCAGCCCTCTTGGGATGTTAGTCAAAGGCTGGCGGTACAGGGTAGCCAGAGCAGGGCAGGATGCCAGGGCCATTTAGAGGAAACTGTCCCCACGCCCAGACAGTCTGAGCCTAGCTTCCTAGGAAGAGCCGTGGCTCTGTACCTCCCACTCTTCCCCAAACAGTCTGACCCTGGGCTGACCCAGACACACTTTCCCAAGTCCCCATATCCAGTGGGAGGCCACAGGTTACCAGCAGGAGGAGCCTGGGACTCCTCCCCAAGGCCAGAGTCTACCTCTGCTCTAAGAATATTCTTCATCGCCCTGCCCATTTCTCGAGTAGGAAACTGAGGGAGGGGAGCAGGGCCCAGGGTCAGAGTCAGCCCAGAGTGCAGGATGGACTCAGATGAACTCCCAGCCCTTCAAAACCTCACCTCCCACATCTTCCATGTCACCACATTTCCCATCCCTACACCTAGGCTCTGGTTTGTTCCCTCCAATGCTCTCTTGCATCAGTAGATGCCCAATAGAACAGCCAGCCTTCATGGCTTTTCCCTCCTTGGGGCCATCCCAAAGTCATGGGGTGGAAAATATACTGGGATGTCAGCATGCACTGGTGTGTGACTATGTTCTGCTCAGCCTTCCCGCTCCTCTATGAACCTGCCTGGCCTGGCCCAGGTTGGCTCCAGTGATGCCCTCTGCACTGACCACTGGACCTCTCTCCAGTGTCCCTGGCTACAAGCTATAGGGTGGCTGAAGTCCTAGCTCCTCAGTTCTCAGTGCTCAAACTCTTCCCCATCCCTGGATCGGCTGGTCAGTCCTGGCCAGACTTTGCAGCCTAAAGGCCCAGGGACCTCAGTGAATGCCACACAGACCCACATGCCCACATGCCCGTGCATGGAAGCCTGCACACAGAGCCTCACGTGCATGCACACTAGCAACCCAGGCCTGCACAGAGACAGGCCTGCTGCCGCGGCCTGCTGCTCTCTACTGCCTCCCTTCCCCTTTATTTCCCTCCTCCTCTCCCCTCTGCTGCCACTGGGAGGTTCAGGGAGTTCCCGGGAGTTCCAGCTTCCTCTGACCACTTCAAGCCAAGGATCATCCCCGGTATCTCCCTGGGCCCAGAGCTCACAGAAGGTGTGAGGTTCCAACTTGGGGGTATGGAGCCATATGACTGAGCAGCCTGTGAACTGTGGTCTGCACTTGCTGATTCCAACTTGGCACAGGGCACACAGTAGGTGCTCAAAGTGACTCAGGGCCAGCCAAGGCACACAGTTAGGGCTCAGGGAGGTTCATGACCGGGACAGAGCACACAGTAGGTGCTTCGAGCAGCCCAAGACCCACACAAGGCACACAGTAGGTGCCCTAGAAATGCTGGTTTAAGGGCTAAAGCCATTTCATATGAAAAATTTTCCAAATGAGCCCCTGGGCCTCCCCAAAATGATGTGTGACCCCTGAGGGGGGACCTGGACAAACATGACCCCCTTGGAGGCCAGCAAAGGGCAGAGCATGAGGGCCTCAGGCAGCTCCAGCTGGCTGTCCCTCTCTCTGGGCTGGAGGAAGAAGCTATTTATAGTTCCCCTTGGCCCAGCCCCCCCACTCCCCTGCAAGGCGACAGTGTTCCCCCTCCTCCTTGCCACTGACAGGCTGATGTCCCCTCAGAGCACCCCTACACTTAGAGAGACCCCCCAACACCCTCACACCTCTTCCAGCACCACCCCCACTGCGCTCTGGTCGTTCCCCCAACCTCCCCCCCCTCCCCCGCCGCCCGTGCCTACCCCGCCTGCTGCTCCCTGACCCGGGGTCCGTCAGGGCGCTGCCTCCCTCCTCGCCTCTGTCCATCCTGCAAGCGAAGTGGCCCGGGCAGCCGCCCCCTGCAGCCTGGAGCCGGGCAGCCCCGCCCTCTGGGTGCCGAAGGGAGCTGCGGTGTGCCCCGTGTGGCCCCGCCTTCCCAGCCCCGCCCTGGGCCCGCCCCCCAGGGCCGCTCACAACTTGAGAGATCAGCAGTGCCCCCACCCCAGGCAGCCCTACTCCCGCCCCTGTGGCCTCCCTCTCTGGCCGGAGCAGTCCATACTGCCCAGGGTCTGCCCTTGGCTCCAGCCAGAACCGTCTACACTATCTAGAGTTTCTGCCCTATCTGCGGGCAAGCCTGTCCACACCGTTCAGAAGGTCAGTCCCATCTCCAGCCCAGCAATGGAGCTGGCCGTGTGAGATTAGGGAAAACCTATTCCTTCCACACCGAGGGACCAGGTTGGTGAAATGGGGCAGGGGTGTGTGTGTGGGGGGGGGTGGAGTGGGCAGAGGGGCAGCGTAGCCAGCTATGACTCAGCCCTGGGTCCCCATGACCGTGACCCTCGTTCATCCCATTCTCCAGGCACTACATTTCTGGAGCTCTTTCCTGTGTGCCAGAACCTTCATGTACACTGTCCCTTGGTATTCGCAAGAAGCCTGGTGGCATCACTGCTCTACAGAGGAGGAAGCTGAGGCTTGGAAAGATGAGCACCTTTGCTCCGGACAGTTGGATGAAGGAGGGGCAGAGCTGGGCTGCAGCCCCGGCAGCCTGAGCCACGCGTGTCCAAGGGCCACGGCTGGGTGTGCAGGCGTGTGGGTAGGACAGTGCCTGGCTGTGCGTTGAGCGTGCTTCATGCTGGTTTGGGGGACAAGCCCTGTTGCGTGCAGCCCCCTCACCTTGCCCTCACCTGGCCCACCCACAGTCACAGATATCAGATACGCAGAGACGCAGCCTCCCATGCACGCGTACGCCTGCCACAAGGCAAGGCTACCACAGCCACAGCCTTGCCACATCCGGCCACCCATGCCTGGAGATGCCCCTGATGGCCCCTTCATCAGAGGTGGGTGCTGCCTCGGGGAGCACAAAACAACAAAACATGCGTGTGACCCTCAGCCTGCACTTCCCTGGGTGGTGACCCGTGGGGGGCAGGGCAGACCTGCGGGTCTGGTCTTAGGCGGACTGGTCTCAGATAACATGTCGGGCTCCTGTGCTGAAGTTCCTAAAAGTGACGCAAGAGTAACCACATTGAGTGTCTGGATGCTCTTTGACCTTGGGGCATCCAGACATGGCGAGACTCCACACAGTAGTGACATTCCACCGTAGCGTCCAAGCTGTCCAGACATATTGGAAGTCTGTGGGGCTCCAGGCGTGGCAAGACTCCATTTGGCAGCCCCCCAATCTGGCAACATCCAGGCTATCCAGACACACCGTGGCTCTGAGAGGCACTCAGCTGTGATATGACACCATCTGGCAGTGACCC